CTGAGACTTGACACGATTATGTCATGTAATATCGACGATCTTAGCGTGTTTACATTCAGACTTAATGGATGCTAATACGGATAAGTGGTATCAACACGGAAATTTGCTCGATTTTTCGCCAACCGACGGTTCTGCATTCATCGATTATAATCTGTTTACGTAATTAACAAGTTGGATCTGCAAATTGCGAGCGCGACTCCTAATTTATTATTTGCATAATTATTATAATTATTATTAATTGTACACAACTGCTGACTATTGCCAACAGTTGGATCAAATGGATTGCGCAGCCGAGTTTGAACCACTCGGAAACAATAAAATTACGCGCTTTTAATTTACTAGCAAAAGGCAAAATGGTGGATGCGCCGGGAAAATATTCCACAAAATTGTAATTGTAATGAAATAAATTCTCTTGGCGCAAATCTGGTCTGAAATAAATAAAATTCTCGCTTTTACTCTCCTCGGAGAATTGAAACTAAATAGAAATTTAAAAGAAGTCGCCGGAGCGCCACTATTGTTCTTCCCGTCGGTTGATAAAAGTAATTTAAATGGACGGAAATTATCGCCCCTTGTTTTCTCACCCTATAAATCAGCTAAAATAAAAACCTGTATTCGGCTAACTAGTTTGCGAAAGAAAATTAAAAGTTGGGGTCCTTCGAGAAACAAAACTTACCAAGTAGCACATTTTGACAGTATTATATTGCACCTATACAGTGTGTCAATTTTAAAAGTTGCAATTGGCGATATTTCTAAGTTATTGAGTTATTGAGAATCCCTCAAAACCATTTTGGTGGTTACAAGAGGGAATCAAAATGACAAAATAAAAATTTAAAGTTTTCGTTTTTGAATAATTGGAAATTAATTTGCTTTACCAAATAGGCTGTTGTATAAAGCGCTTGTTGTAGGCTTTCTAACGATGTATCACAAGTAGGGTAGTGCCATTTAAAATTTTCAACTTGGGGTGGCTGTGGCTTCAAGGGTGAGTGGAGGTGCGTTACTTACCATGTAATAGCAATACGCGAACCAAACCATGGTTATGTTAAATTCAGCTTATAAAACGTTATCTACCCATGGATAGATTTGGTACAGTTACGGAATTAAAATTTCGGGCAGTATTGTCATTTTCATAATGTAAAATCTAAAGCAACCTTTACATTAATAACCTCATTTTTTACTCTTGTCATGTTTATAAATCTAAAGCAACCTTTACATTAATAACCTCATTTTTTACTCTTGTCATGTTTATGTCATTTTGATTTCAAAAATACCGTCACTGACAGAAAAGTTGAATTGTCAAATGTCAGTCATGATGACACTAAATGGTAGTTTATAGTGAACTTTATAAAGTAACAGAAAAATACTGCCCGAAATTTTAATTCCAGAACTGTACAGTCGAACAAAGTGAAAATGACGCCACAATAAACCAGCTCCTGCTGTGGATGCCGACCCTTCGGAGAGAGCAGACAGGGTCGTAAATTATCGCATTGCAAACTTGACGTGGTTTCAAGATAAATTCCATTAGGACACGGTTTACAGAAAGCGAAATGTAAATTTAATTCAGAATTAAACTAATTCGAATTAAGTTGGCATTTATTTTGAATTGACAAACATCAAATTAATTAAATGAAAATGTTGAAAAAAATTTAACAAACCATTTCTTAAAAAAATATAAAATAATATAAAATATCAAAATAAAATATAAAATCTAAAACAAAACATTATTACCTTAATAATTTTTTTAACTATTTTTTCAAGATAAAATTAATTAACATAATTTTTGTACGATATTTAATTTCAATATTTTGAACTTGATTTTATGTAAAACAACAAATAAATTAAATCATTGTTTATTTGCGAGAAGAGGGTTTAATTCGACGTGTGCGTTTACCGCGAGTGGTTTAATTATTTGAGCAGAAAACGAAATTAAAATTTACTTCAGAATTAAACTAATTCGAATTGAGTTGTCATTTATATTGCATCGACAAACGCCAAGTTAATCGCGAATTAAAATTTAATTGGGATTAACACGTTCTGTAAATCGGCCCTAAGTTTTCTATTAGTTTTGTAATTGTAATTGAAAACGAATCAAAATTATTTATTTAACCAGGAAAAAAACCGCTAAATTATTTGAAATATTTTAGTTCTGCTAGAAACTTTATTTTTTGATAATTGTAATACTTTTAAATTAAATAAAAATGTTTAG